TATTAAAGAAACCGGACAGCCTCCAGTTTTAGATAGAGTATATTAAAGAAACCGGACAGCCTCCAGTTTTAGATAGAGTATATTAAAGAAACCGGACAGCCTCCAGTTTTAGACAGAGTATATTAAAGAAACCGGACAGCCTCCAGTTTTAGACAGAGTATATTAAAGAAACCGGACAGCCTCCAGTTTTAGACGCCCTCTTTCCTATGAACGCCGCACCTTTCTAACTGTTTCTGGTGCTTCTCCTCCCTGGCCTGAGCCTTCATCTGCTGCACCTCGATGGTGTCGGGCTTCCGTCTCCGCATGTACAGTTCGTGGTTTCCCATACACAAGGCCAAAATCCTCTTGTTGATTCTCAGACGAGGTGCATAAAAAACAAAATCCTAAACACAAAATATTCTGAATTTAAAAAATTTCTGAAGGTTAGTGTCTCTCACAACAATCTGTACTATAAATTTCAACAGGAGGTATGAATTCTGATACACATTACATACAGTTTGGAAATCATATAATTTCTTAACTGCCAGTAATCATGGTATACTTTCCCCTCACTGGTTCCTCACTTTTTCATGCCCCACCATGTGTCCTGTCACTGTGTTAAATGTCATTTATTCCTTTCTGTTCTCCAAAGTAACCATGAGCACCTGTTTCTTATACCACAGAGGAGGGTTCATTGGTTTGTTTTGCCTTTTGCCACTAGTGTCAAAACTGGTCCTTTGCTGATGGCTGCTGAATCCTTTTTAACCAAATGTTCTTGTTTTTTATTTATTCAATAACTAACAAGAGTTAGAGTATTAGCGTATACACAACACTAGAGGAATTTAAAAAATCAATTTAAATAGATTTCTTAAGTCTTAAAATTACAGAAATACAAAATTCATCAACATAAAATACATAAATGGAGTTAATTTAGAATAGAGTTAGCTCTACCACATTTTAGCCACCAATGAACAGTTTTGTTTTATTTTGTTTTTTTGAGACAGAATCTCACTATGTCACCCTAGGTAGAGTGCGATGGCGTCACAGCTCATAGCAACCTCAAACTCTTGGGCTTTAGGGATTCTCTTGCCTCAGTCTCCCAAGCAGCTGGGACTACAGACGCCCACCACAACACCCACCTATTTTTTTGTTGCAGTTGTCATTTTGTTAGCTGGCCCAGGCCAGGTCTGACCCCGCCAGCCCCGTGTATGTGGCCGGCACCATAACCACTGTGCTAGAGGCGCCAAGCCAAACAGCTTTATTTTTTATTGCTTCTTAGGAATAGTGATTGTTTTCAATTACCTTCTAATAAATATTAACTACATCATAGCTGACTCTCAGTTAAAATAAAGCTTTAATATTTATATCTTCTAAAAAATTAAAGCACTCTTTTTTTTTGAGACCGAGCCTCAAGCTGTCCCCCTGGGTAGTGTACCGTGGCATCATAGCTCACAGCAACCTCCAACTCCTGGGCTCAAGCAAGTCTCCTGCCTCCACCTCCCAAGTAGCTGGGACCACAGGTGCCCGCCACAATGCCTGGCTATTTTTTGGTTGCAGCCATCATTGTTGTTTGGCGGGCCCAGGCTGGATTCGAACCTGCCACCTTAGGTGTATGTGGATGGCACCTTAGCCACTTGAGCCACAGGCAATGAGCCAAAAAACACATTTTTAATAACATTATTTCACCACTAAGAAAGCTGAACTTAAAAAGAGAATGTTCTTAAGAAGCAACTCAAGGAAGGAACAATGCCATTCTTCAAGTGACATCACAGGAAAGTAGCAGGTATTTGAAGAGTTAACACATAAAACATTAAAAATTTTTACTTACGGGTGCCTTTTTGTCAATTGGCTTGATAACAAATTTTTTGTCATTAAATGAAATATTTCTGATTTCACTCCACGGAAAACCGATTTTAGGTGTTAACCTTAAAAAACAAGAGCATTTCTTTAATTAAAGGCAGGAAACAATGGACAATATTTGTAACAACTTTCTGCTACCAGCTTAGCTGAATGATCAGTCTTAAGAGTTCCAGGTTTTCAAAATGTATTAACTTAGTTTTAACTCACAATTAACATTACATTTTAAAGAGAAATTTGATAAATTCAATCATAAAACAATTATCCAAACATTTCATAAATAGGTCATGCATCTCAAGTATTACAGTTACTTTCCTAAAATTACCTTTGAAAACTATCCAGTGACCAGAGTGTATAACTGAGCCTTTTGGAGTTTGCACTACTTCTCGTTTTTACTCTTTGGTCTCAAGCTACTGCAACTACTAGTTTAAATATGTTTATAACAGGGGAAAATAAAGCCTTTATAACTTCTCATATGAATTATGGACACAAGTTACAAAAAAAAAAAAAAATATTACTTTCCGCCTCTGTTGAAAACATTGGGGCCAAGACAGTGGCTCACATCTGTAATTCTGGCACTTTAAGAGTCTGAGGGAGAAGAATTGCTTGAAGTCAGGAAGTTTGAGATTTACCTGAATGACACAGCCAAGACCCAGTATCTTTATGAGAAATAGAAAAAATTAGCCAGTTAGCCAGGTGTGGTGGCCTGTGCCTATAGTCTCAGCTACCTGGAAGCCTGAGGCAGATGGATCATTTGATCCCAGGAGTATGAGCCCATGCGGTTAAGCTACAACACTACTGTACTCTGGCCGAGGCCAAAAAAAAAAGTCCTAGGATTGAGATTGAAAAAAAAAAATAAAAATTTGGTTATTTCTGAATTTACTAAAATATTTAATTTTCAATAGACAAAGATAAATGTTATGTATGTGAATTATCTCTCAATAAAACAATTTCACAACACTCATACACAACTGTTTGGATAAATGGTAGAGCTGGAATTGAAACTATATTACACAGTAATTGCCTCCTTTTAACATTCTACACACAAAGATCTAGGGAATCAGACTGAACTACGTGCTTTTGTTTCTGCTTTTTCATATTATTTTACTGTTTCAGGTTATCCATCAAATGCATCAGCTGACCTAATAACAACAGTAAGAAATGACTGTGGCACTTCTGCTGGCCAAAAGACATCATTCAGCCAGGTTTCTGATAACAAAGCATGAATCTTTACCCATTTATATTCCTTTTATTCTTAAGCAGATGAGGCTCTTCAACACAGCAAGTAATTTTTTCTACATAAAACATTCCTAACTCAAGATACATAGTTATCCTGCCCTCTCCTGGCCACCCAACGAAATGCGTCAAAGTAATCTGCTTTCAAAGGAGACTGTAGGAATATCAGATGGCATTTTTTAAGGTAATATATGTATATGTGTACCACATATAGGTGCTACTTTGAAAAGTTCTAAAGCAAACACCTCATTTAATTCTTATGAAGTGAACTTGAGAACAAATACAATAATGTTAAAAAAAAAAAAGGTCAGTCCACAAAAATTAACTTTGAATTTATTTTTGCTTTTTCAAAAATTTTAAAATTCTTTCTGAATACTACTGCTTTGTAGTATCAACTTGAGAAAATATTAGTGTAAAAGCAATAAAATGCACTCTTTTGGTGTCATTGTATATGCTTTGAAATTAATGTTTTACTAGATATCTGTAATAATAAAAGCTAAAATTCCGGAGTCAACCCAAAACAAGGAATAATGCTATAGGAGAAGGCAACGCTGGCCTAGACTGGGGTGCTTATGTGGCCTGAAATAAGACGATCAGAGCTATTCCTAAAAAGCGCTGTAAGAGTCTGACATATTTTATATTGTCTATATATGTATATTATCTATAGATAGTACATAAATACAATATGTTTTATATACATATATTCTCATATACATTATCCTGTATACATGTATAACACAATACTGATGAATTCTGTATATATGTATAATAAATACAACATTTAAGGAATTAGGCTTGGCACCCATAATTCAGTGGTTAGGGAGGCAGGTAGGTTCGAATCCAGCCCAGGCCTGTTAAACAAAAATGACAACTGCAACCAAAAATAGCTCGGCATTGTGGCGGGGTGCTAAGAAAACTGCCAGGTGCTAAGAAAAAGGGAAGACAGTATCTATAAGTCTATATGGCATTAACTAATCTTTTAATTTAAAAAAAGCAGTAAAGGGTAATCAAGACAAGAAACAACTTTTACAGAAAAGTAAACCCATTTAGACTACTGAATAATCGACTAATTTACTTACTTGTCATCATGTTCATAAATATTCAGACCCAAAGCATCAACACCTAGCCACAATTCAGTCCCCTTTTTATTTTTTATTTCAAAATAGTTGACTCCATACATTTCCAGATCTTGTGCAATCTTCAGGTATTCCATCATAGAATCTTCCCTGTTGAAATAAAACTAAATGTAATATATGTAAGTAGGAGTATCTAACACCAAACTAAAGTTGCGAAATAATCTTAAATTAAAATTTAAAGCTTTATATTTACTCATAGAAGTCACAGCTACCCAAATACCTTAGCATTCCTCTATGTTCTTCATGCCAGTTCTGTATTCTTTCTTCCCACTGTTCTTTGGTTAGTTTGTGTTGTTCCAATACCCTAAAGAAAAAAATAAAAAATCCATCATAATGCCTTTGTGATTCAAAATCATTATTCCTTAAAAGTGTAGAATCCTTTTAGTAACTTGACTTTGGTAGCTTGTCATACAAAGTAATACACCTGATAAAAATGCACAGAGCTAAATACATACACAGATGAGTACGGGTAACAATGTTATAATCTGAATAAGGTGGGTGGGTTACATCAAGTCAGTATCTTGGCTGTACTACTGTACTAGAGTTATAGATGTTACCATTAGGGGAGACTGAGAAGATACATAGGATCTACCATTTTTTATAATTGCATCTGAATAATCAATAACTATCTCAAAGTTTCTAGGATCCTTAAGTTATTTTAAATAATACATGTTTCAAAAATAATTATCATAAACATAGTTTATAGGAATCCAAATATTTCTTTCTTTCTTTTTTTTTTTTGAGATGGAGCCTCAAGCTATCCCCCTGGGTAGAGTGCCGTGGCATCACACAGCTCACAGCAACCTCCAACTCCTGGGCTCAAGCGAGTCTCCTGCCTCTGCCTCCCAAGTAGCTGGGACTACAAGCACCCGCCACAACACCCGGCTATTTTTTGGTTGCAGCCATCATTGTTGTTTGGTGGGCCCAGGGTGGATTCAAACCTGCCACCTTAGGTGTATGTGGCTGGTGCCTTAGCCACTTGAGCCACAGGCGTCAAGCCATGGAATCCAAATATTTCAAATGAATAAAATGTTGGATCAAAAATGGCTTCCTCTTTTAATAGAGAAAATTAAATAGACTGAAAACCAGAATTTAAGGGCCCTAATTCTTCCTGTATTTTATGTAGTTTTTTCACTACTAATTTTATTGTTTTACATGGGAATACTTGAAATACTTGCAACAGAAATACAGTGATAAGTTACGTTCCCATTCAATGACCTCCAAATAATTTTTTAGTTTCTTTTGTACCCAAATATTCCTTATTCAAATGTAAGCAAATGCTGATGTTCTTATTTTCCATTATATGTTATAACTTATTATAGTAAGTTTTTCTGATATCCATGTCTGTTTTCTCTTTTTTTAAATTTTCATACTATGGGATATACGTTTTGTTTACATACTTTTTGTACAAACTGAGTCAAAGTTTTAAGTGTCTTTCACCCAGAAAGTGTGCACTGTACCCAACCAAGTATTTGTTTGCCCACCCATCTGCTCCTCCCCCCAGCTTGATTTTCATTAGGATTAGCTTCCGTATATGGACTTCAGTGTTGATTGATTAGTTCCAATTTGGTATTGAGCACTTGTGTTTGTTCCTTCATTCTTGTGATGTTTCCCTTAGAAGAACACCATCAGAAAAGATTCTGGATCCCTGTTTCTTTAATGGCTGAGTAGTACTCCATGATACACACACCATCTTTTATTAATCCATTCATGCTTTTGTGGGCACTCGGGTTGTTTCCACATCTTTGCAATTATGAATTGCTCTGCTATAAACATTTGAGTCCAAGCATCCTTTTTATGAAACAACCTTTTTTCCTTTCGGTATATATCTAGCAGTGGGATTGCTAAGTCAAATGGTAAGTCTACTTTAAGTTCTCTGAGGCATCTCCATATAATGATTTTCCATGCAGGCTGTACTAGTTTGCAGTCCCACCAACAGTGTCTAAGAGTTCCTTTCTCTCCACATCCACACCAGCATTTGTGGTTCTGGGACTTTTCCAGAGGAGCAATTCTCACTGGAGATAGGTGGCATCTCATTCTAGGGTTTCTATTTTCATTTCTCTAATGATAAGAGACACTGAACATTTGAGTATTTTTTCGTAAGTGTGTTGGCCATTAGTATATCTTCATTTGAAAAGTTTCTGTTCACGTCTTTTGCCACTTTGTAAATGGAGTTGTTTGGTTGTGTCTTGCTGATTTGTCTGAATTCCTTGTAGATTCTGGTTATCAATTCCTTTATCAGATACATAAATAAGTCTATACGTATATGGATATATATTCTTACATTCTGTGGGTTGTCTATTCTTTTGATTCTGTCCTTGGCTGTTCAGAAGCTTTTTAATTTGATCAGGTCTCATTTATTAATTTTTACTGTTGCTGTGATTACTTTCAAGGTCTTCATGAATTCTTTGCATAGGCCAGTATCTATCTATAAAGAGTTTTGTCAATATTTTCTTCTAGAATTTTTATAGCTTCCTGCCTTGAAGGTACCTTTATCTACCATGAGTTAATTTTTGAACTGGTGACTAAATCAGCAAAATCAATATGCTTATAAATACAATTTACTTGATTTCCATTCTGTTTAGGTCATACAATAACTATCTACCTTTCTCTACTGGTGATCCCAGATCCTACTTTACTTACAGCAAAAACTGCCCTGTGAAAACATTATTTTACTATTTAAAAACTGCCTGAAACCCAGGAACTTGTGGCAATATAAAGGAATCTTAGGATGAAGTCTTCCCCTACACAGATTAAATACTACCTGGATTCCTTAATGGAGTCTGAGACCATCACGTTTTTGTGACGTTCTGTTCCTTTCTCTATTCGTCCCCTTTCAAGCCCTGGCCTTTGAGGAGATGAATTCTGTCTTTCTCCTTTGAACACACAGGTTTTCATATTTTCCTTATCTGTGTACTCACTGGCTGCCTGGCCTCTGGGTTCAAATTCAGTACAGTTCATTGCTCACCTGGTGCCAGCACTAAACAGGTGCTCAAAAATTTTAAGAGTGAACAAATCATCGATTTTTCCAATCTTTAAAGAATATGTCTAGAAACCCATGCTTCATAAACTTTAGGTTTTTTTTCCTTTCCCATAGCCAAACTTCTTTTGAGAGCTATTCACATTGACTAGCCTCAACTTCCATACCTGACATCCACTGCCCCCAGTTTACCACAATCTGGCTTCAACCCTGAACACTCTACTGAAACTGCTCTTACCAAGTTCACTATCAATCTCCTCATTCTACCACTTCCGTTCTTGTCCTATTTGACTTCTCTGTATTATCTGACAGTGCTAAATCCTTCTCTCTTTAAAGCATTCTTCCCTTTTACTTCGTGATGTAACAATCCTCTGGTATTTTTTTTTT